CCGGCGGTGCAGATGTGACCCAGGGGCCTGGGCAGCCGCCAAGCTCCCGGTGCCCAGCCAAGAGAGGCAGAGCCGCACAGCCAGGAAGTCATTGGCCTCACCGAGATTTGGGGGCTCTGATCTCGTTATCGTTACAACAAGCATTTCTGATCCTGAGATATTTTTCAAAACGTTTCCAGCTCTCAGAGCCGCAGCCAAGTTGGCTCTGTCCGGTCTGTGACTGTGCTAACAACCGTCCCCCCCTCACTGCTCCGAGCGTGCGTGGAGAGCTCTTGGTCTACGCGGGGGCTTTGGTTTCACTTTTTAAACCCTCTGCCGACAGCTCAGCCTGGAAGAAGAGGCGTTGGGCCAGCTGCACGGCCTGCCCCGTACAGGCACCCAGCCGGGAGATGTGCCCGGGGGTGGCAGGCTGGGTCCTTGTCCTCCACACGCGTAAGTGACACCCCGCAAGGAGTTCAGGGGCCCGGGGAGGGTGATGCTGACACGACCCTTTCCTCCCCGTTACGTACCCGCAGAGGCATGACTTCGTTTGTGACCAGGAAGAGGAGCAGATGGAAATCAGAAATCATGTCTAGGAAAACGGAGGAAGTATTTTGGGACAGGTACGTGGCCAAGCTGTGGAAGTCCTACAGAGAGGGGAAAGCAATAAAGAGAAGTCACTTCCCCCCCCAGGTAATAACTTTATTTTCCTATTTGGATCCGCTAACAGACACTGTAACATTCCTGTCTCTTTTGGGCATCGGCTGCAGTGTGCAGAGACCCTCCCGAAATCAGATCCCAGACTGGCTGACCGAGTTGCAGCTCACAACTGCCAGAGAAGAGGATCTTAGGGCCCACACTAGCTCTCCCATCCAAACACTTGAACGCCTCCAGCGCATACAGAGCGGATCCCAGACCCCGGAGACGCCGAGCAGAGGCCAGTCAGCTCAGCTCAAAGCCCAGTCGCTAAGGAAAAGAGGCAGATGAGGAGAAAGCAGCCCCTTCTTCCCCAACTCCCTCTTTTTCTCTGCTCTTGAACCTGGGGCATCCTCAGAAACGAGGACCAAAGCTGTTGTTGAACAGCCGACCTCTCCCGCCCTGCCAAGAGAGCCACAACGGGCAGCGACCCTTCTCTTGTGATGACTTTTGGAGGAAGCCTTTGACATCTTTGGCACGGCCTCCTTAGAGAAATGAGCTGTTGCTGCTTTAAAGCAACTCGAGCCTTCCGTGAGCTGGCAAAACCCAGCGAGAGCCTCGAGCTGGCCGGCAGCTGCCTCTGCTCAACGCTACGGGCCTCTTGCAGTAAATGGCCTCCGCGTTTTAAAAACCCGTCCAGGAAGAGAAGTCAGCGCTCTCAGAGCCAGAGCAACAGACCCTCGTCCCACTCCCGTCCGCAGGGAGAAGCGGGTCCCATGCTGTCACCGTGGGGCTGGAGCTCCCCGACCTCTTTGGTGCTGGCTGGGAGGCGCCAGCCCTGGCACAGAGCGAGGAGCCCTGGTCCCCATCACCGAGCCGGCGGGGAGCAAGGCGTCCAGCCGGCTGATCGGCATGCAGACACTGCTCCGCGTAGGAAGGTGTTTGGCAAGCGCTGGACTGAACGTCAAAGGGGTGATTTAAGGGCACAACTGCAGCCGTCCCTTTGCAGATATTAGTAAGTGCGAGGGAGACAGACGACCTATCTGTATTAAACACAGCTTTGTTATGAATCACTCCTTACCTGAGTTTCCCCCAGCACGTCGCGGTTCTCGATGGGAAATGGATTTTGAGAAATAGAAAAAGTGTAGACTGGATCCTTGGGGAAAGTCGTAGTAATCTAAAAATCCAAGAAAGGACGATCAGAGTGCTGACAGCAGGAGAGGCAAGTGGGATGCGGGAAGCAAGGCTCCCGATAGCCGAGAGCAGCCACGGCTACACATGAGAGCTCAGCCAGGAAGACAGCAAGACAATGACACCAGGGATTTTCTGACAGCTTTTAACATTTAAAGCGATATTCCAGCCAGCACACCTCTTAGCTCCTGGCAATCGTTTCTAACGAAGCTGGAAGGAGATGTACTGAGCTCGGTCCTGACAAGAGCACGGCACGATGCCGTGGAGAGCATCCCTCTCGGCAAAGGTCACCGGGACGCAGCAGCACCCAGCACAGCTCTGCCCCGTGCCAGGCAGCTGCTGCTGGGGGTGTCACCCTGGGGGTTACCTTAACACCAGGGGGTGACAGGGCAGAGCGTGGCCCCCGCGTCTGGCCGTGGGGTAGCCAGGGGACCGTGCTGCTCCATTTGGGGCTGGAATGGGTGCCAAGAAAATACCTTTGCACTTCATTGAACAGAGTGACCCCATGCTCTGGGCACGCTCAGCCTGCCTCCTCCCTGTGCCGAAGGGACGAGGAACGGGGTAGTACAACATTGCGCCCACGTTACTGAGCTCACAAGCCAGTGTTTGGGCCAGCTTCTGACATTTAAACCAGTCCCGATTCTGGGGGCTTTAAAGCTTTGGTGCCAGTTACTGACTGCTGGGCCCTGTCGGCGAAGCCCTTTGTAAGCAGAGATGCAGAAATACCTGCCAGGACAGTATTAACTGGAATAATGCCTTTTTTTTTTTTTCCCTCCCCTTTTTTTTTTTTTGGAAGAGACAAAACAAGATGCTTCAGAAATGTAGCTTTCCAGGCTGCTCCTAAATGTATGTTCCATCAATCTGTTTTCATCTTAATTACACCCCAGGTAGCCTGGAAACAGATGCCTTTACTACTTGAGTAATAAATATGCTCCAGCGCTGCCGACTGGCACGGGGCGTCAGAAGGCCCCGCACAATGGGCCCGTTGTTCCGGACACGACATTTCTCTTTGTGAATCACACGTCCCAGCGTCAGCCCGAGCGCCGCTCTGATAAGCGACACACACAGGAGATAGCGAAGAGGGAAGAAGGACGAGCCAGTGGAAGCCTCCAGGCTGCCAGCTTCCCTGTGCCCGCGGGACACTGCCTGTGCCAGGGGCAGCTGGACCAGACCAGTTGCTCCGGTGGATTTAATTGTTATTGGCACCACCTCTAACTCCAGCAATATCATCTGTTATCCAAATTATTTGCTTTCCTGCCTTCCACACCGTAACAGTTTCCTTTCAAGCCAAAGGGCAGAGCCGTGCCCCAGTGCCTGGCAGCGCTTGCTCACGGGCAGGCCAGCCAAGCTGTGCTGTAGCGTGAACTCCCTCCCCCAAGAAAAGGCATTTCTGTACAACCAACCTGGTCTGCTGAGTCACTAAAATCAGCTGGATTCTTAATTGCTGCTAAGAGACAGACAACTGGAGCTCTCTAATTAGCTACCCGCGAGGTAGTGCCCGGCACACGTATCCGTGGGGCTGGCTGCTTCCCCTGCTGCGTGGCTACGTGCCAGTTCGGAGCCGTGATAAGACACCAGGCAGTGCCTTCCCAGGAAGTAAATGTGTTCCCTGGCACCACACCGATCCCAAGGAGCACTGCAGTTACCCCAGAGCATGCCAACCTCTGCGCTAGAAACACCTGGCAGCAGAGGGAAAAGGAGAAAGAAAGAAAATCTGTCCTGTGAATCACCTCCAACGTGAATTTTAGAGGTGGGTTAAGAACGTCACTCCGCTCTGACCATCTCCTGCTGCAAGCAAACAACTGCAGCAAATACTTACATCTATGATTAGGTACTCAACCGGGAGCGGGCGAGCCAGCTGTGTGATCTCGTTGCCAAACTTGTCTATGTCCTGAAAGAAGAAGAGTCTTATTATTCCTCAGCATGGAAGTGGCGCGAAGCCTAAGGGATCCTGCCCTGGAGATGCCCACACAGGAGCCTGGGGAGCCTCAGCTCTGGCAGATCACTAAGGGTGCAGAAAAGAACCTGCTCGTGCACGGCTGGGTGCTGCAGAGCTACCCAATTACCTGCAGCTCCTCGGGGCTAGAGATCTCTGTAACTCCTTGAGCCAGGCCCTCTGTTTCCTCGTGAGCCAAGGTCACAAACCACCTTGGTCTTGTTTGCCTCAGTCATCGCCACCGGAGAGGTGCCTGGCATTATCTAAGCAGTGTAAATGCCATTTAAGGAGCACTACTGTCTTAAAAGGGAGGGACAGCGCCGCATCTGCTTTCTCAGCCAAGGCAAACCCGACTTTCTGCAAAACCGGCCACGAGTCTCTCAAACTCCTGCTGCTTGGGAATTGGAAATCCAGGCACTTTCTCATACACAGACCTGAAGAGCCAGCATATCACAACGCGTAAACTTGTTTTGCTTTGCCAGACGAATTGAACATAAAGTTTAATTATGGAGAAAAACGGCCAGCATATGTTCATTAATCATAAAATGACAATTAGACGTGATTTATGTCAAACACGCTGAGTTCAAACACAGCTTCAGAAATAAATTCATGAGAACTGACACTTTTCATTAAAGGTTCTGTAAGAGGGGGTTGTATTTTCTACCTAAATCATCACTTAACATGTTATAAATCATTCATTGAGCCCCATATAAATCATACGCCCATAATTTCCAATCAGGGACCTTACATTAAAGTTTACATTTACTGAGCTCTCAGAAGTCCCAGTGGCTGGAGGCAGACCCAGAGCCGCTGCACGCCGGCGGAGCCGTCACCCCGACACCTCAGTGGTTTGGGGGAGCTCGGCGAGAGGCCGTGACCCCCGCACGGTTTTGAGCGGCATTCCTCGGGCTCAGCCAGCGAGCACCGTGCATCAGGATGAGCTGCCCACGGCTGACACCCTCCTCTCCCGAGCCGTATTCTCTCCCGCAGTACGCCACTCCCCCGCTATCAGCATTTCTCGGTTACGCTAGTATTTACACAGCACAAATATGCGGTGTGGCAGCCAGCACCCTGCTCTCACGCTCTGCTCTCCCGGTACACCCAGACGGACATCGCCCGAGCAGGCTCCGGCACGCTGCTCCCCTCCAGGCAACAGCCCCCCTTCCTAAGCCCCCTCCCCAAGCATCCTCTGTCCCTAGGAACAGTTCCCTTTGTTAAAAAAAAAAAAATCTACCTTCCAGTCTTTGAAGCTCCTTTTAAAAGCAATTCCGATAAGGATCTTTTCTCCTTGAACATGACAGGTTGTTGGCCCTGTGGTTATTTCAGCAACAAGCCTGGTGGCTCGTGGCCTCAGATCTCTCTGGCTCTGACAGGAGCAGGAGAAGACGCGGAGCCTTTTCAGGGAGATCACAGGACCTGAAAGCTAACCTGCTTCTAGATCTCGGTGATACCGCAAGAGTCAGGAATCAAATCCAATCAAACCAAATCAGCTTCCCAAACACAATCCTGCCCCTGCAAGAAAGAACCTGCAACAACTCACACATAATTAGCCCATCTGGAATTCATTTTCAAATCTAATTAAGTTCTAATATGCAGAAACATTTTTCCAGCACCTGTTCACTTTAATCTCCGCCTCTGGGGATTTCCATGTTAAATGCCTTCTTTTTAATGTCATGCTGCTGAGGCCTTCAAGACATGCACTAGACTGTTACTACCAAACTGGAACCTCTCTCCCCCCCCGAGTCGAGGACATGTCCCGGCCCTGCCCTTCCCCAGACAGAAAAGGCCACCCCTCCCCGCCAGTGCCGGCACTCTTCTCCAACCCCCATGCGCCATTTTATTAGGCAATTACACTTTAAAGGCCTTAACAAACGTCAAGCTGGGAGAATTGCTGGGAGAGACATCTTCATTCTGAACTCGGCAGTCGCTGGGGCCCCAAGCAGCGCCTCTCAGCACGTTATTGCCGCAGCCCTGGAGCCAGAGACCCCCCGAAGCCATGAAAGCCCAGCGGCAACCACTCCAAAGGGAGGCCAAGGAAGGGGTTAACGAAGGCGCAAGTATTTGGCTCCTGGACAAAAATTGAGCAGCAAGGCCTGGAGGATTTGGACAATGAATCGTCCCGAAGACAGGAGCAAACCGGAGATTGCATCAGGCGCTGCGATTAGAGCCTTTCAAACCACTATTTGGAGGCAGAAGCTGCAAACGGATGAGGTCAAGCAGGGGAAAGGATGGGTGCGCCCGCAGGGAGCGCGGCCGGCCATGTCACACGCACCCCTCTGCAGCGCTGCAGGACGGCTGCAGCGGGAAAGGCTTCTGGGTGTCTTCAAGATTTCTGAGATGAGGGTGATGGGAGCAGCCAAGCGAGGAGCCCGGGCAGCTGTCAGCCAGGAGAGAGGCTCTGTGTCCCAGGGCTGGCCAGCCGTTAGCATCCCATGACTTCAGTCTTCCCCATGGGTTCACTCTGCTGAAGGTACCGTGGAGCCGAGCAGCTGTCTGTCCTTTCTGTGTGTTAATAAAGCCCAGCCTTGCTCTTCCCTCTGCTGATTTCCAAGAGCTTTACCGGGCAGTCCTGCCCCCTTGCACAGATAGAGCAGCTGACACACAGAAAAGAAGCGACTTTTCTAAGAGCAAGTGATAGGTCAGTGAGAGTTGAAACCCTTCTCAGGAGACTCCTCGTGAGCTAATCAAGCATCCTCCTCCCCAGAGCAGCTGGGACATCTAAGGCTAAGAAGGCTTTTCCAGTCCAACACGAAACACTGGTAGGAGGCCAGGCAGGGGACGTCCTTCACTGCTAGTGAAAACTCCCTGCAGAAGTCTCCACGCAGCCTGGCTATCGTGTTTTCCCTGGGAAGAGGATTTCAAAGGGAACGGGTGGAAGCAACGCGTGCCACACCGGGGACAGCCTGGCTCAGAGGTCCCCTTCGGCTCTAATCAAAGCAGTGCCCTGGCTCAGGGATCTCCCAGGGCCAGATGGGACCACATTTAACAGATGACAAGCCAAGGCCCAGACGCCGTCTCAGCTGTTGTAAATGCAAAAAGCACATGCAGGACTCTACGGGGGCTCTTTCACAACACCGGTGCCATTGTAAAGGGCTTTCGTCTTACACCGTCCTAAAGAAACTCGGGGGAACATTAAGGCAGCTGTAAAATGCAATTCATTGCAAGGATGACATCTTCATGTTTGCACCGAGCTGAGGCAAATACCTGTGATAAGAGACAAAGCCAGCCAGTTCCAAAATCCAATTATTCAAGTGTTTCAAAGGGTCTGTAAAACACAGCAATCTCTTTCCCCTGTTCGGTGGGAGGTTGAGCTGCCCACGAAGCTAACCGTGGAGCAGAGCATCCAGCTCTGCGGGGAGCAGAGTTAGGCAATGCCGCAGCACTGCAAAGTTACGGGCTCGGCAGACTGACCGCAGGGAGCTGGGAGCAGACGGACAGCAGGCACGGGGTGCAGGCAGCCCAGCGGGAGGGATCACACCCGGCTGGGGCACTGAGCACCAGTCGCAAGTAGCTTCAGCTCTGAATAATCAACCCACGGTTTGGAAGGTACATACTCAGTGAAATCAAAATCAATATGGTTATTTTCTAGAACCAGATGGATAAAGGAGGCGGCTGCTCGAGGGCAGAAGACAGGGAATGGAAAACGCCCATATGTAATATTCAGCTGGGCTCTCCCTCACCCAGCTGAGAAACAGGGTGAAGTGGCCATTGCAACTTCATCGTCTTTACTGACAAAGAGAACGGTTACCCCGACTTGTGTGTCTGTGTCTTGACAAGAGCGACTCCTTCATGAGTTTCGTTGCACTGAACTCGCCAAGAAGCATGTACCGGTTGTGCAACATTCGAATTGGAAACAGCACTGCGCTGTGACGCTTCACAGACAACCCAGGAGGCGAAGGGGGATGTTTTCTTCCTTCTGGCTAATCTTACCTGGAGAGGCATCTCAGAGCAAAGTAACTCGTACTCATGGTCCCCAAAGCCCTCGACTTTCACGCTAGAGCAGAACTCTAGCCTTCACGAGCCAGGAAAGCAACGGCCGCATGTAGAAAGCGCATACTGCCAATTCCACTGGGGTGGTTCCTCTAAGCAGCAGGGCTAGTGGCCAACATAAAGAGAATGGTAAAGAAATACAGAAATCACAAGGCTAGAGGCTCAGGAAAAACGCCTCGCCTCCCGAGGCAGGACAACGCCGGTGCCATCAGTTTTCCTATTTCCATGGAAGAAAAGCCCATCTAAGCTAACACACCGTGGAGGTGAGTCACGTTCAGGCAGGAACAGCTGCAGCCCCGGGGGACGTGGTAGCCCCTGCTCCCACTCCACAAACACAAAACGCGGCGCAAACCATGGAAAAACAGCTCGCTGACCAAAGACAGCCGTTCCTCTCTTTCCAGGCACCTCTTCGCCTGCGCGGTGAAGTCCCTGAAGTTGCAGCTCTCCTGCCTGGAGCGTGGGTCCTCACCCCCTTCTTGCATCTGCAGCATTACCAATCCCGATGCATTTCTCAGCAGTCATCGCTGAAGTACAACACCTACCGCGAGCGGAGGTACAAGACGTCTTTGAACAACGTGACTGAAGTACAGCTGTTGGCTTACATTTCGCTATAGATGCGAACAGCGGCACCTTTTCCTATTCGCAAAGCCGAAGGTGAACCTACGGCGTTACCCTGCTGCAGACAGATACGAGAGCTCAATAGATTTTTGCCTTGCATCTGGATGCATAGTTTTTCCTATAAATACATCCATACTACACAAACATTGGCCTTCCGGTTCTCATCCAATTAGAATAAATTTGTATAGCTCCTTTCATCCTAACGGGCTTTTCAAATGAATACTTGCATATTACATAAAAATATATATATGGATTTTTCTCTCTACCAGGTGACAGCTTCTCAGTCCGAGACAAAATGCAGCAACTACTCAAAAGTGCAGCTTTCTGCCCAAAGCTAGCTGGGGGGGCAGCACAGAGGGGAACCCCCACATCGAGGACTGGGGAGAAAGCTGCTCAGCTCCTGCAGTTTCAGCAGAGAAAGGGGGAGCAGGGTACTGCACCACGAAGCAGCTGTCCCCTGCCGCGAAGCCAAGCACTGGACTCCTGCTCCTCGTACTGTATTTAACCAATGCTTTGACACCATTGTTGTCACCAACCCAGTAACTATGAGGTAGTGTCTCTGACCTCAAGCCTCGCACATTTAATGAGACCCCAAAGGTTTTCAAAGCCAGGAGTGACTAAGCTTTCCATTGATTTAAGAACATTCAAAAAAAAAATTAAGAGATCCTACAGCCAAACACGTTTAAGTCTGAAGGACAATTACACCCGCCAGAGCAGTCCTCAAGCCTTCCTTGAGCACATCATGAAAAAGGCAATTAGGGATAGAAGTTATAAAACATATGAAATAAGCTGCAGCCCGACCCAGTGAATCAGTGGTTCATGGAAATTTCCACAGAAGGCTGGAGCCATCAGTTAGCATTTTGTTTACCTCCCTGCTTCAGATTACGAATGGGAGTGAAGACCTTATGGGAACACCCACTGGCTTCCTGCTACTCCGAACACCCAGGGTGGCCCACATGTGGGACACAGACCTACGGGACCTCCTGCAAGGCTGCACCCTGACTGTGGCACAGCACGGGCTCCTCCGGAGCAGGACTGCAGCACGCCAGGAGATGATCTCATCTTCACGTTCAGGGCCAACCCTTGCACAATCGAGCTCTGCTGTATCTAAATCGGACCTGGCTTATCAGCTCCTAAGAGCAAGCTGTCTGCGTGCTGAGGAAAAAGGCACGGATTCCATCTACCTTTCTGAGAGGGCAGATTCCTCTCAAGCACTGAATTTAGCCAAGAGGTGTTCCTCATTTTCAGGTGGTGTCAAGACAAGCCAGCAGTTCAGCATTAAGGGGTGGAGGGGGAAGACGGAGTCTTGCGGGCTAATTCACCCAGGCCAGCATTTCCCGGTCTCAGGTTCAGGGCATACAAGAGCATTTTGACCAGCTCCGTTTCTGTTGTTGGTGCACAATACGCTCACTTGAGTCGCCCCGAGTGAAGGTAGCTTTGCTTATCCTGCGCTCCTTAACGGACAGCTTTAACACAGGCAGCAGGAGCGCTGCAGGCTGAGCGGGCTGTGAATATCAGACACAGACAAGAATGAAATAACTAACTTGGGTGATGGATGGCTAATTAGTTGGCAAGCAGTGCCATTAATTAATTCCTCTGTCCTTGCTCACGGGGCACCAACATACACAAGTTTGAGAAGCAGTGCTATTAACCTCCGCAGAGATCCTGTCCCCAAGTTTCTAACTCGGCCCTGCAGATGCAGCGGGGCTGAAGATCTCCAGAAACAACCGTCAAGGGAATAATGACAGTCCATTCATCACTAACAAACTGTACCGAAAACTGCAGCAGACAGGTTCCCAGCCGTGCTCTTGCATGACACTTCAACAAGGGTATTTTGGATCCGCTCTGGATGCACGTATCCCCCGCTGCTCCTCGGGACCAGTTTTTGGAGTTTACTGTCTGACCTGATAGCAGGACCTGGGCACAGGCAGTAACCCCAGTACTAGAGAGGAATGCCAGGGGCACAGCCCAGTCCTGCCCTTGCTCTGAAAGCCTTCGCACCTTCCTTTTGTTGCAGAGAAGCACGCACAGGGCCGTCTCTCCTCTTGCTGCATGAACTACACTAGCTTTTGTTGCATCTGCTGCCCAGTTGGTGCCTGTAAGCGTCGCACACGAGCGAATCCCTGGCATCGCATAAGGAACCCACCGCTTTCACCGCACCGTTTGTGCTAGCACACATCATATGGCTGTGCAGTGGAGGAAGCTGAACTCAGCTGGGGATTAGAATCAACAGAGAAGCATGGCAAATACTGCCAACAAATACGGAAGAGGAGGTGAATTCAGAGCACTTGCTATGGGCTCTCGGTGGATCACTGCAGACCTCATTTAGAAGCTGGATAGCCAGTGGCTACTGCTGCACTGGAAACCGTAACAGCACATTTACGAGGGGGAAACGGAGCTTATGCAATTACTTTGCAGACATGTGGTGAACGGTTACTACTGAAAATAATTCAGACCTCAAAGACATCCTTTCCTGAGCTGGCCATACTGAATTCCAGACACGCGGCAGAGCCGTTTTTGCAGCTCCCCCCACCCACAGGCACGCAGCCCTTACCTTATAGAACACATCAGGCACATACTGCTCACTGCTGGACTCCTTGGCATAGCCCAGCTCCGGTGCATCTCGGCAGGGCAGCAAACACTCATCTCGAACCAGCGCCATGCACTGATTCGAGACCTGGTAGCCCTCAAAGTGGACCTGGTTGTCGGGACCACCTGGAAGAGAAAAGGCTGGTTAAAAATCCCACACGAGAGCGATTTGCCCAGTGTGACTCAGAGAGGCACGACTCGAAGAGCAACATTAAACACGATGGTCTTGCTAACAGCGAAGAATGGCGAGATGAAACCGCCGGTGCCGCTGCATGGGAAGTACTTCTAGGCAAGAATCCCCTCTAAGCTCTACATTTATTTAGTAACACACATTTTCACAGCTAGCCTAACAGGACAGACCCCTGGAGGGACAGCAAGAGTGCTTTGCCAGGAGCTTAAAGGAGGTGAAGCTGCCCTTTCGGAAGGCTCCTGATAGCATCACCCTCCCCCTACCTTGCAGGTATCTTCTCTCTTTCAAAACAAAAACCAGGCACACAGCTCCCGTGAGCCCGTTTCATTTCCAAGGAACCATGGGCTGCAGATTATGGGTTGGTCACCTAGTAATGTCAGGCATAAGAAGAAAAAGTGTTTTCTCAGCCTGTAATGGATGGCTTGGTGGAAATCTGACAAGGAAAGTGGAAATTAAGACCCTGGCTCACTGATAGATCACATGCTTGGCGCTTTAATTTGGATAATGTAAGCAACATCAGGTCATATGTCATTAGAATACAACTGGAAAGAGAAGATACAGACAGATGGTAGGAAAACGTTACTATTTCCAAACCTAGGAATTCAGGAGGGGATAGGAATTAATCCATGTAGAGGATTTAAAGGCAAAGTTGATGCAAACTATCCAAATATATTTATACGGCACAAAAGGAAGGAATAAAGTGTTTAAATAGAAACCTGATGGGCTGATTTAACAGAAGAGAATGAAATTATCTGGAACAGAAAAGAGGAAATATTTGTTTTCTACCCTTTGATCTCTAACCTCAATCACTCACTGCTCCAGAACAAACACTCCTAGAAATTAAACATAGACCAAGACACGGGGAAGGCCTGAACAAAGCTAGCCATCATTTTCTCAGTAAAACACCTTGTTTAAAAACAAACAACAGAAATAAATAAAAAAAAGAGTGAGAGAGATACACATCTATCTTTAATCAAAGATGGATGCGTTTAGCAGCCTGGAATGTATGGGCAGCTGTCTGATTGCACAGGCCTGTAACTGAACGAGAGCATTTTCACTGAAAAAGGCTCCGGGAACACTTACAAAAACTGGGCTCAGAGGAGGCAACGTAATATCACACTTTCAGTTTTTACATTGGATGCTATTTGGAAGTCATGCATTTTTTTCATTGTGTTAAATAGACCCAGAACCCAGCATATCTCCTCCAGGGAAATTTTAAATGAATACATGTGTCATCCCGTAGAGAACAGCAGATTGAACTTCTAACGCTACAACTCTCCCAGCGCATGCCAACATCTCCCCTCGCAGCCCGGGCAGCGCAGACTCTTCCACAGTGCCTCTGGAGACTTGCTGTGAAAACGGCTAAAATCAGAGGTGACAAAGCAAAGCAGTTTGCAGGCTTCTCTCTTTTATTCAGGCAAACAAAAAATGTTTCCAAGCACGGAAGAGCACAGCATCCTACGTAAGGGTTTCCCTGACAGCGACACAAGGGAGATAAAGGTCCCTCCTTTACGCTGAACCAGCCAGAGTAACTTTCAGGAGCCGGCTTGCCGTGGTTCTGCACTGCCGCTTTCAGGCAACAGAGTTTGGAGCTTAAAGATTCAAAACAGAAAAGCGAGCAACAGTTTCCAAGCACGGAAGAGCACAGCATCCTACGTAAGGGTTTCCCTGACAGCGACACAAGGGAGATAAAGGTCCCTCCTTTACGCTGAACCAGCCAGAGTAACTTTCAGGAGCCGGCTTGCAGTGGTTCTGCACTGCCGCTTTCAGGCAACAGAGTTTGGAGCTTAAAGATTCAAAACAGAAAAGCGAGCAACAGTTATTCCCCTGGCTGCAGGCAAAAAATGCTTTCTGGATCAGAGAGGTGGATGGTCCAGGTCTGAGCCTCAATTAAGTTTCCTGCAGGGAACAGGGTAAATAATTATAGAGAAGACAGCGCAAAGAACGAAAAAGTATTTTACTTGGTAGAGCAAGGAAAAACCCTTGTTAAATAGGACAGCTGGGGACCAGGACGTCTGACTTCTTCTAGCAGAGCTGCATATTCTGCTTTTATTAACAAGAGATAATTCATTTGTAACCAAGAGGGCCGGGGCAAGCCGAGGCCAGTTTATACCTGTAGCCACAACTGTGACAAATTTGGATCCAAAATGACCGTCTGGAGAAAGGCGACAGATGTTGGGCTGCTGGTTCTGAAAGTTTCCAGCTGTGATGCACTCTTCTGCACTTAGATAATACGTGTCCTGAGGGGAGAGCAGAAATGTCAATAAAAAGGACAACGTGATGTAGCCTAGACCTATTTCCCTGGTCTGCAGCCAAAGAAAGCTACCAACACCCTAGTAAAACATGCTTTCGTAGAAAGTTGCTGCAGAGACTGGGAAAAGAATGCAACATGTCAGCTCTCCAGCCCTCAGCCTGGCTCTCGCCAGGACTGTCCCACTGCTAGTTCCACCCACCTTGACACACCTTTTTTTTTTTTTTCTTCTCCTAAACGGGGTTCATTTTCCAAATAGGGGTATCATTGATTTTAGAATTACAGGAAGCCGAGAAGGTCAGAGTTTGAGCCACGTATATCTCACAAAGCCCAGCCCATAGGAACGTCCTCTGACTGAGTCACTTTTGCTCACTGAGTTTGCACCTCGCACAACCCCGCTCCCTCCGCTCTACTAAGTTTTCTTAAACCACAAGCACCACTTTCTTAAAGCAGAGCGGGTGAAGGACTGCAGGCAGCTTTGCATGCTATCCAAACAGCTTGAAACCCCTAACAGTGCTCTTCAAGCTCAAGCTCCTTTTCCTTCAGAAGCTTCTGAAAAGCCCCGTTTCACAAGAATTCCAGTCCCAGCATCACCTCCAGCCCTGTGCTGCCCTGGCTCAGTACTCTGCTTGGCACAGCCAGCGTTTATGCGATTACACAAACTCTCAGTACCAGCAGCTTTAATTAGCTGCACACTTGAATCTCACCTTGTTTCTGCTGTATCGAACAGTCCCTTTCCGTGTGTCTTCAGAGACCAGATCAGTAAATATCCAGCCAACCTATAAAGAAGTGTTATGGAGAAAGCTGCTTTAAGAAAAAAAAGAAAAAAAAAAAACCCCACAAACAAACCAGAAGAGAGCTTATACATTTTCTCCTAGCAGGACAAGATGTTCTTGGCTCCTCGCACGGCCCTGCTGTATGCTGCCTGAAGGAAATGGCTCTCCCAGCTGTGCCGGGCTCATTTGAATCCGATTTCCAGGAGCAGCATGCCAGCTGGCCGGCCGGGGGCACCTGCAGCTTTATGTTTCACTATGGAATATTTTTTCATGGAAAGATCTGGAGGCTGCAAGAGGCCTCTCAGCCGCTACCTCCTCCCACCCACAGCAAAAAGCATTTCCTATTGAGCATTCAGAGCGAAGCAGCGCTGGGAGTGCCAGCAGATGACAAAGCAGCTCACATGATATCATTTTGAAGCTCGCAGTCACTAGTTAAGATAAAGCTCATATGTTCCCACTGGAGTATGATTCATTCCAAATCAGAGTCTGCTCCGATCCAAAAACCACATTCCTGCTTTCTGCACTGTTTGCACATAGGAGTGTAGATGTGTACACACACACCGCTGCGTGAACCCTTCTACACACACGTGCTAAAACCAGCTCTGATCAGCCCCCTCGTGACCAACTCCCACAGCATTAACCCTTCAGAGGAAGAACTGCTGATTCAGATTCCTAGCAGAGCCCAGACAGACAAAAATCTGCAACCAGCAGTGAGTTACGCGTTAAGTCATATTGATTAAAAATATCTGATGTGAGAAGCAGAGGAAAAGCATGGAAATAAATAACACACACACAGAAGCTTTGCTTCAGACACTGGCAAAAGGCTAAAGATCTTATCTTCAGAGAACAAAAGACCTCACCACAGATGTTTATAGTCTACTGTACTGAGCCTTTTCTGATTTGTGTTTTCTTTAGCAAGTCAAATCTTGTTTGTGTACATCTCATTCCTGGCATTCACACGATACCAAAAGATTTCCCAAACTGGAAAGTATCAGTGCAGATTTGAGAGATGTCAGCAAACCAGCGGATCCCAATACCCGTACGTCCTGATCGGATGACTGGCAGGCTGTGGGCACGAGGGGAACAGAGGACTGAGGCTCAGCTGCTGGGGGACCTGCACCTCTAAACCAACGTACAGATTAACTCACCGCAGCCTGCCTGAGCAGCACCAAGAGGCAGGACCCCACAGAGGAGAATAAAAAACAAGCAGGAGCCTCTGCTCCTGGGATCGGAGCACTGATTCTGTCAAAAGGAAGAACAAACTCAGAAGGCAGCTCCAGCGACATCTGTGCCAAATTAGCACTCACCGGGGAGATGCCACCAGGAATGGCTCCTATCTGAGGAGAAATAAGGGGAAAATCGTGTTTCTGCTTCTTTGCTGCTCCCTTTGATGTCATTCATGACAGAGGGCTGCTGACTTCAGCTGCACATCCCTGCTAGATGCTTGTGCTCAGGAAAATGCTCTCGTTTTGTTTTTTCATACCTAAAAGCATAAGAGCTACCGACACTTAAGCTAGATTTCAGGTGTGCCCAAGCGGTCTTGAATAACCCCGTGGAGCTGAAGAGAACTGCCGACGATTTTCTTCATTGCCAAACAAAGACGCATGAGATCCGACAACATCCTAACCTTTCTCAGTCCAAGCTTTGCAGCGATCTCATCCACCACCTCAGCTTTTGGATCTTCCAGGATCTCCAGGCTGTTCTGTGTACCAATCTGCAGCAAAGGAAAACCCGCTAGTAAGACAGAACAGGAAAAACCACAGTACACTTAGTCATTGTCAGGAGCGAGGCAGAGGATGGAAGCAGAGGTCCGGGTTTCCCCTTCGGCATTACCACCGGCTGGTTTCACCCCGGAGACCTCCTCTACTCACAGACCCATCCTGTTGGAGCTCTTCAGCTACGTTTGCAAACTATGTCGGGGTTTATGAATGAAAGACTCGGCATTTACAAACAGGCCATTGCTGTTTCCGAGCACTTTGGAAAAGGCGAGAGATCATATAATTTTTCCAAAGCTCTGTGTTCAACCTGCCAGTTTTGTACCGCCGTTTCGTTTGTTTGAATCTTTGAGCAGCAGAGAGGCAGAAATCCAGTGAATCCAAGAGCCCACGCCCAGGCCTTCCCCCCGTGCTCTGGAAAACACGACTCCCATCTGGGTGCGTTTCAGAGGCAAGCTTTCTCGTGTGGGGAGATGCCGTGCCAAGACGCATGGCAGAGACTGCTTTCCGGGAGAGCAAAAGCTTCTTGCTTTTACCGTGCACAACTAGAAGCATATGAACTTCCAAAGCAGGGGCTTAACAGCGATATTGAGACAATAGCGGGCACGGCTCTGTTCATATTGGAAAGGGAAGAACTTATAAAAGGCTTGCAATTCTGCTCTCACACGCACAGGCCCAAAGATCCATTTATTCTTTTCCACTGACAAATCTCTTGCATTTTACTCTAGCAACCCTGCAGAAATCATCAAGAGGAAGAAAACATATGATCCACCACGATATGTTTGTATACATAGTGTCTGCACTTACAAAAGTGACTTTGGTCAGCAGTGAAGAAGCCAGTAGGCAAACTCAACTTCCAGCTGAGCTTTGTGCTGCGGGCAGAGTGGCCTTTTGTATTTGCCACCTCCATTTTCAGCTCTGCGATGCTGAATTCAGCTTTTGGGTTCCCCGGGAGGCCAGGCTCGGCGGGACCCGCTCTGGCTGCAGCCTCCCGGGAGGACTCGGCGGTGCCGAGCGCGGCGCCGTGTGGTGCCGTGCACCATCTAGCGGGGACTCCCGGCTGCTCCGAGGCATCAAATCTCATCCGCGGCCTTCCGATCAAGGCAGCAGACTTCATTTTTGTCTAATTAAGCTGCTTAAATTTTCCCAGAGAGCTGGTAAGAAATTGAAGCAAGGGCTGCAACTTTTTTTTCCTAGTACAGAATTTGTTTTCAAGCTGTTCTGTACCATAACCTTGGAAATCCAGTAATCAAGGAAACATGAAGAGTGAAATCCACTGTTACGAAGTCACCCTAGCTTTAAATCATCTGAGCAAAGAGTAATGTAAAAGAGAGTGTAAAAATAACAAAAAGCAAATCTGGGTTTTAAAATCCTTTCAGGGGCAATAACACAAAAGACATAAATCACATCTTTTTCACGGGACCGTTCTCCTTATGGAGCTGCAGTCAGAAATACTGCAGGGGGTTTCCCAAACAAGTGTTTCCGTGTTCCCCGTATCTTTACGCTGCAGTCAGAAATACTGCAGGGGGTTTCCCAAACAAAAAAGTGTTTCCGTGTTCCCCAATTATCTTTACGAGTCGACACTGATGCCACGGCACCCAGCTTTTACCTGTGGGGGTTCATAGATGGCAGCAACCTCCGCCCGGATCCCCAGAGGGATGTCTTTGTGCTCTGTGTACCGGCCATACAGATACCCAAGATGTTGGTTTCCTGTCTTCCGCCAGAAGTCTAGGAAGCGATCTGCAATTGTGTGGTTCTCAAACATGATGTTGTCAACATGCCTGTATTTCTGTTTGACAAAGTTCAAGCGTCAGGCCATCCTCGGCTAGGTCTGTTTAGTTCGCCTACCGCCAATACCTTCCCAGCTGCCTAGGACGCCCACCACCCCTTACAGCTGAACCCTGCCAGAGCAGGGACAGGGAAAGCTAGCTGGCTCCCTCCCTCTCCCCTCTGCCGCCTTCAGCACCACTCCCCTGCCCAGCAAGCAGAACCCACCACGGGCTGGACTGTGGGGATGCACTGAGCACCCCCAGCACCCCATTAGCTTGGCTTCTTTACTAGGGCCCTTATCCCAAGAGCCTTTGCAACTACAGTGAAATTTAAGAGGAAACAAGAAGAAACAGTGGGTGGCCTTTTGGATCCCATGCGGAAAAAGAGTGGAGATTCATCGCTAGCGGTGCCAGCTCAGATGTCCTCCACATTGAGAGGAAACTGCTGAACCAGATACATTTTGGAGTCCTTTTCCGCAAGGACTGAAGACCTTAACAGCCAGTTCCCCAACAACTGCCAATACGCAAAGGCTTCTTGCTCCAAATTGGCTGTTCTTGAAGTCATCTCTCCAAAAATAAAAGTCAAGTCCCTTCTCAGCTTTAAGCACAAGGGCTCCTGCGAGCTCCGTCTCACCTGTCTATTCAGAGTGATGGCACTTGGCTGACACTTTGTGCAAATGCCTTCTGGCCAAGGAGGGTGCCCTTCACAGCCCGATTTGATCTTACAGCTGATGTTTTCCAGGGCAACAAATTTCCCCCTGCAAGAAGGAAAAGAGAAGGCTGCTGTTACCGCAGTAAACGCTTTTGGGTCTCAGAAAAAGCAAGTGGCTAGAAACACCATAGAGGAGGCAGGGCAGAGGAGACACGGTGGCACCAATGCTTTGCATCTTCAGAGGATCTCAAAGCGCCCTGCAAACTCCCACTGGGGGATGCTCCACTCCTGCGGTCCCCAGGTAACCTCTGCTGCCCACTTAGTGAGGGAGGTCAAGAGGCCGACATGTGGTCCCTGACTCAGCTCCTAAGCAGATATTCGAGCAAGAGCAGAGACGGAAAACTCATGGGACCCTCCTTAAATAATTTATGCAGCACGTGGGAAGTAATAGATTATACCGCTAGGGCAAACTGAGCCCCTTTCATGTGCACAGGCTTCCTGCAAAGGGAAGTTCCCTTCAAATGAAAGTATTATGGACTTGAGCTGCATCTCACAAAGACATTAAAAAAATCCCAACGGCATTTAGGAATAGGAGGGAGAAGGTCACACCTCTGCATAACTTATTTAAAGGAGCTGCATTTCAGAGCACAGTGGGTTTCCCGACATCACTGAAGGAGACTTTAGATCCTTCGCTGAACACATGTGCTGCAGCAAGGCATAAATAAATAAATACTTCCTTCAGTGCTTCCTCTCTGCTCAGTACTTATCTGGCCTGTGTCACCACAGCATCCTCCACCCCACCACGGGGCAGGACGCCTTATTTTCCAGTTACCGGGCAGTGAACCGTGGCACCATGACAAGAAAGGCTTTCACTAAGAACACAGGGAGCACGGGACAGAGCAGAATCTGGCCCTGAGGAATGTTAGGCTCGTCTTTCTGTCCTATTCGCATTTGTAGGTAAGAAAAGCCGTTGGTGAATAAAAGCTCCCCAGGTTCACCACAGTCTCAGTGCCTCTCCACGAGGTTTGAGACCCAGGCTCGGAGCTTGGTATAATTAGGGAACCTCTTTCCTTCCATCTGGCCTTCTCCCCCCCATCAGTAGTGTTTCCTGGAAGCAATTACATTGCCACAGCAAAAGAAAAAAAAGAAAAAGACAGACTTCATTTTTTTTTCCCCGGCTTTTTTTTTTTTCCCTTCTTTTCTTTTTTTTAACTTGTTGTTTTCTCCTCAGTTTGCCATTCAATAGTTGTATCCAACACTACCGGTGAGATCTGTCTGTACTTTCATTTGTATTTTAAAAAAGAAGCTACAACTAGATTCCCTTAAACACAGAGATTTTCTTACTTGTCTGCCCCTCCGGTCAGCTTCCTGATGTAGGCATGGAAGGACATATGCTTCACAGGAGGTTCCAGATGGTTTAAATAATCCTCATCAAAAGGCTGCCAAAAACACCACACAAAGAAAAACCAGGTCAGACACCTGTCTGATAATACATTGATCACTAAACAAATGGATGTTCTAGAGTCAACCCCACTCGCTCTCAATGTGGAAACAATCAAGAAAATTTAGGCTCATTTTCAAGGCAGCTACTACTGTGATAGAAACAGTGGGGCTTTACAACAGCCAGTTTTATTATCGCCTCCTACTTTTATAACAGATTGGCTCCACAAATCAGAACGAGCCTCAAAGGCAAAGTGCTTTTTCCTTTCGATATCTAACGACAAACAAGAAGCCCAGCTGCTCAAACAAGGCCAAAGAGCTTCCAGAGCACACGGCGGGGAAGCGGGGGAACAGCCATCTTGGCTCGGAGCGACTTTTGAGGGATCACTGCTTCATGCCATAAATTATACAGCTTAGCACGTTTGTAGGCGTTACTAAAGCTGCCTTCAACCTGAATAATCCGTGGTTAAACTGGGAAGTGCTGGGATCCACGAGAGAGGGGATGAAACAAGAAGATCCAGGCAAGAGTGAAGAGGGAGGAAAACTGGAGCTTTTCTAAAGCACTTTCTGTTAAACCCATTACTGCAGAAAAACAGAGCATTAACCAGAATAAACCCAGGGTCACGAAGGCCTAGAGCTTTAGCGATCCTGGATGCGAGCCGGCACTTTTGACAGTGCACAGCAGGATTCTGACCCAGAGCTGCCACCTCTACGTGGGCAGCGCTCCGAGGAAAAGCATTCATACTGGGAGAAACTGAATCCAAGAGGACATGCTTTCGTGTGACTTTCTAGAGCACCTTCTTGGGGCTCTTACCTCCAGCGGTACGCAATGCACACATTTACCCAAGGGGCCGTGGCGACACCTATGCAAAGAGAAAGAGAAGTTGTTAATAATAATAAGTGAAATCTTATTTAGATTAAGATTTAGATTAAATTATTTAGATTAAAATTTAGATGAAATCTTATTTAATAACGGAAAAGCCAGACTGTAAAAGTTGCTCTAGACTAACAGTTTTGGTGTGGAAGATCTGTGCAATCATATGGCTCTGAGCAACTCTCCACCCACTAGGGAATATTACAGAGGGGTCACCACAAGATAACTTCACATAAAGAGACAGCAACAGCTTCAGGTTAAATCTGAGAGTCCCAGGTCAAGATCAAACCCTCCTAATGTCTGTGTCACTGGCAAGTGGCTCTGCTCTCTGAACAGCCACGTGAACCAATGTCAGATCACAGCTTCTCAAGTTTTACAACCCTGCGTTGAGGTTGCGTTTCAATTCAAAGAATTTTAAATCTACGTCACAGGGCTGGCCTGTATGGTTTTAACAAAAGGACAACCAAAAAAATTCATCCTTTATCAGTCACTAGAGGATGGTCTGGAACAAACAGGGAAGCGTGTGTTTATCGGACAGATAAAGACCTGCTGGGTAAAGTTACAAAACAGAGGGGAAAACATCTCCTTTTGAGGCAGTCGCTTTAAAAAAAAAAAAAAACCCAAACCAACAAAATATTCCTCCCACACCTCTGCCCCAGCACTAGGTCGGTGCTAGTTTTCAAAAGAAAGCCTCTAGAGAGGAGCATGGATGTTGGCTCTTGTAAAGATGAAATGGATGGGATCCAGTTGCAGCATTGCTTTTAACAAAGTATTGTGGCAGATAATGTACATAAAGGACCACTAAAGGCTGCTAATGCACTCAGCCGAACGCCAGCATCCCTTCATGTTTAGATTGATACGCTCTCACAAATACAGGAACAAGCCCAGACACACTCTTTTTATCATAAATATCCACTGCTGTGCTTTGGCTCCCTGCTAAGAACAATACCTTCATTTATTCTTTTGAAAATGCGGTCAAGTTAAAGACAATGTTTTTGCCATGGAGTGGTGGGTTTTGCCTTTATTGTTTCAATAATGTGACATTTCCCTCATTTATCATCAGCCTGAAAACATTAGATAGGATTTTCCACGTAAAGACTACGTCTCTCCAAACTTCCTTGCTGCTGCAGCACTAAAGATAAACCATAGGGAAGACAACACAATGAGGAAGGGCGAGCTATTCTGTTTTAGAAAGAATTCCTGGTTGCCTTTAAAATTTTCACTCAAGCCCTTTCTGAAGTTACTTTGCAGAGGGGTCCAGCCCCAAGCCCACAACCAGTACAGACACCAGGCCAGGACCCAACTGGGAGCAATAAAAAAACCAACCACCCAGACAGAGGACATTTTAGCAGCATCAGTGTAGATTTATGGTGGCGTTAAGTCACCATTGCATTACTACTTTTACAAAAAATACAAGCTGCTTTGTTTACCCAAGCCTCTTGCAGCTAAGAGCTTCGGCAAAGTTAGTCTTTGTTGCATTTCTGTGAGCAAAATGGACTCCCTGGTTTCACAGAAAGGTTAGAAAGGCACGCGATGGAAAGGAAGCCAAAAACCAAGCAGGCAGAGACCCAAGTCCCACTTCCACGTCTCTGCCATTGGACACTTCCACTCACTTCTTTGGTTTTCCCTTCACTTGTTTGTCCTTTGTAAGGAGAGGCTGGATCTGAAGACCTAGAAGCGCTCCTGCTTGGGACATCCTAGGTGAGGTGCCACACGCACCCATCGCAGTGCCGAAGACAGCGATGCAGGGTTGCGTCGGCTCTGCCCGAGCAGGGAGAGGCTGCACAGCGGTCAGAAAGAGCGACAGAGCTCAGGTCTCCGCTCTGACAGAGGAGCCGCCCGTGGTTTAGAAAACGAATCCGACCTTGATGCTCACCCACTGCTGGCTGGGTGACGCTGAGGCAGCGGCTCTGGCTGGAAGCGCGTTTCCCCGTCCGCGCCTCTCCTGCGAGATGGAGGCCTGGCCCTGCCGCCCCGCACGCCCGTCACCTCGGGACCCAAACAACGGGGAGCTACGTATTGAGACCATATGGAACAGAAGCTACTGCGGACAGCAGACCCACGCTTATTAAGCAATATGCCACACACAGAGCATAACCTAGTATTTCTACGCAGCACCGGCAGCCAGGTGATCCCAGGGAAGAATTCAAAGTATTCATTTTAATCTAGAAAGCTCCAAATGTTTTAGGAGCGCAAAATATACGATCACAAGTCCCATAGCAGGGGCCACCTTGATCAGAACAATAGATGCTCTGAATGAGTCCTTCCTGGCAAAGACCCTGGGATTTTGGTATCTGCTTCCTTCCCCGGCTCACCAGAGCTCGATTTAACCTTCCAGGACAATGGCAAAGGCTGTTTTCCCTTGTGAACGTTTCAAGGGCAGCGAGGGATAGAGCAGTTCCCATAGCACGCTTCCTGGCTGCCGGTTTCAGACAAGATGTTACAAGCTCTGGTGAGGCACAGATGCATCGGCAGAAACAAAAGTCCACCCGTACTTACAGCTGCTGGTCTCGATTTCGGTAAATCTTCCCATCCTGTTTGATCAGATACTGGTCGATCTCATCTTCCACCACCTGGGGGGCCCCCACAGGCCGCAAACCTTGGGAAACAGAGGTGTCCATGGTCTCTGAGGAGGAGCCAGCCGGGCTCGAGGGGTAGAGAAACAGCATATCGCCATGCCTATAGGTGTCGAAAAACAACACAGGGGTATCAGCTGAGCATGAGCTTTGCTTCCAGCTACGCTGGGGTGGCAACCCAGGCAATAAGCCACACACTGCTCTCAGACAGCTGGAAAGGCTCAAGGTCCACCCTCTCCACCATCCCCTTTCACCAACAACTGAACTACACCGGACCGTCACCCTGACCGCCTGGAGGAATTGGCTCCTTCGCACCCATACGGCATAGGAAACGCCTGTGCTTGGTTCGTGGCACGTTACAAACCACATTAATGTTCATAGACCTGTAGCGCACACTTCTGGGTAGCAAACCTCCCGGTCCACAGAGGAGCGTGTAATTTATAACAAACTATAAACACACCAGCAAACACGGCAGTCCGAAGCCATGCCATTAGCCACCTCTTTCTGCTGCTTTGGTCATTTGCACAACAAACGCCAAATCTTTTCATCAGGAGACAAGACCGAGGGAAAAAGATGAAGAAAAAGGTGAAAGGAGCCTATGGAGAGAAGCAACACCTCCAGCGAGGAAAAGGACTAGTGCGGACCCTGTGCACACCAAGTCACAGCCTTCCCAAGGCAGCTGCCAGCGCTGACACGTTCAAGTGACAAGCTGCACGCGGTGGTAACAGCTCTCGTATTTTTAACCAGTTTAACATTATTCTTGACACGAACAGAATGAAGACATTCCCCACCAAACACGAAGCGATTGCACCATTTGGCACCTCTGATCTTCCTAGGCGCCTGGCTACAGAAGGCAGGAACCCTGGCGTCTGCACAGGGGACTATCGGACTCTGGCATTGATGCAGAAAAAAAAAAAAGGACAGCGTGAGTGAAAGCAGGGATGAGGGAGCTCGCTGCAGGCTGTAAAAGAGCAAACAGGAGGCCTGTTGCTGCCTCACCACAGCAAGCAAACACAACGCAAGAAGTGGGGGTCGGTCTCTTCTCCCAAGTAACAAGCGATAGGACGAGAGGAAACGGCCTCAAGTTGCGCCAGGGGAGGTTTAGATTGGACGTGAGGAAAAACTTCTTTACTGAAAGAGTGGTTAAACATTGGGACAGGCTGCCCAGGGAAGTGGTTGAGTCCCCGTCCCTGGAGGTATTTAAAAGACGTGTAGATGAGGCGCTTAGGGACATGGTTTAGTGGGTGGTGGTGTTGGGTCGACAGTTGGACTCGATGATCTTAGAGGTCTTTTCCAACCTTAATGATTCTACGATTCTAAGTGACCTAAGAAATGGCTGCCACAGCCTCGCACGTAGTCAGTTTGATCACCCCCGTGTCGGCACGAAGCTTGCCCCTTCAAGTAGCTGGTGAGTGACAGCCGAAAGCTTAGGACTGCTGTAACACGATGTTACCCGCTGCTGCCCAGTTCAGAAGGAGCTCAGGCAAGCTCAGAGAAGAGGCACCCTGTTGTGCAAAGCCCCCCCTCCACCCACAGCGCTCTCTGCCAGGACTCACTTGATTTTCAGTAAGTTGAGGGATTTGTTTTGTGACGCCGTGATCTCTCCTGTCCTGTTTCTATTGGTGTAGACAGAAAACCCATTATTCCTGAAACCAAATTCTTTTGCAACCTGGAAGAGAGAGAAGAATGATAAGGTTTAAGATACCTCACACCCCCGGTCAGATGCTGAAAGCTGCTCAGAGCAAGCGCTAAGTCCAGGGAACTTCTATTGCAAAACTTTAGCTGAATTCATCCGCGTTTCTGAAGAGCGTAGGATAACTCAGAAAAATAGAAACGCTTACTAACACAAGCAACCTATTAAAAAAAGCAACTTAAACAGAAGACGTCTCTCACTCATGCAACACAAATGCAGTATTTTATCTAAATCCAGGCAAGCGCTGTCATGACTAGAGGGGGGAAACTATCTTCTCCGTTATCCCAGTTCTCTCGCTCCAGCCTTGCCAGCGCACACCAGCCAATTCTCATCTTCCTCTGACCAGAGTTCCTCGGTCCAGATCTTCACCTCTGAGGATCGCTTGCCCTCAGCTCCGCTCTCGCCTACCAGTTGCTACGCGAGTTTCACTCGAGCTCTTCCTGCTGTTCTCCTTTCCCGTTGTTCTCCATTTGCCTCTTTTCTCCTGATGGAACTTACCCTCACAATAACCACTCTCAGCCCCCAGGGAGGTTTTTTCCCTGCTCATCCTCTCACCAGTTCAGTTTAAGGCTGCTTTACTCTTAATCAGTCAAATGCCTCTTCACAGCAACAGCCATTTTCACACTTGGCCACTTAAAAACACAATCAGTTTAAAAGTGGCATTAAAAGTTTCTCTAGATGACAAGTCTCTTCCTAAATTCTTAAGTTAATAGCCTTTCTTTTTATTCAGTACATCTCCCTGTGGCTTTGGTAGGGCTCAGAGACGGTGACTGCACACAGGACAAATCTAACGAGCCACAAACAGAACTGTCGCACGAGCAAAGTCGTGGAAAGCAGCTTCCCTACTGTCAGCTTCGCTGCCATTTGTAGCAGCGAGTGATCTGCCGTTTGAATGGGAGCACGACTTCCAAACGGTTCGTCTCCTGCGTCACGCCTGCCAGAGCTAAACGTTAGCTCGTCAGGCCGCAGACTTCACCAATTTTTTTTGGGGGGAGACAAATTCCACAATACATTAACAAAAGGCTCCAGTTAGTTCCTAACTCGATTCTAACCTGGACGCACCCGAGAGTTTACTGTCGTAGTAAACTAGGATGTGCTACGAAAGACAGAGATTATCATCGAGGCCCTTATCGCTCTGAAACGTGCTTTCTCCCACACTTCTTTTGCAGCTTCTCTGGACTTGTCAAGGAGGAGACCTAAGTTAATTGCTAGCGTAGAAGAAGCCATCTGATGCCTCTTTAATTACAGCTCTCTAGCTAAATATGAAATCCATCGTATGGATTAACATTTCAGTGTTAAAATCCACAGCTATTAATACGCACAGATGATAGGTGGTAAAATTTGCAACTTTTCTCTTTCAGGTAAACCCCGTATCAGGAAAGAAACCCAAACGTTTCTTGTATTCAGCTCAGCAAGAGGATATAGTTTTCCCCAGATCAACAGGCAATTTTAGTGAGTGCCGATGCTTTTGTTCCAATGGTAAGTGCTTGCAAGCACGATTGTTCCACACTGCCTCGGGTAATATGAACCCTTGAAACCGAGCAGCTTGTTTTGCACAGGTTCCAGAGATTCTGAAAGCAACGCTTTTTTCCTTGGGTGAGACCGTTCAGAGACTGCAGCGGGTGTCTCCGATCCAGCCCTGAAATCCATCAGGATTTTCGCTTGGTCAGGTGGGGATTGCTGTCGCGGTCTGGGCCCAAGCTTCGAACAAAGCAAATGACTCACAAACAGCAGCAGGTTTCAGTCTGCTCCCCTTCCCCCTTGCAGGGGGAAAGGAAATCTAGCTGACTAAAAGAATGGCCCTTCAGGCACAGGAACACAAAGTACTTCTCTTATGAAGCAAAGAAACGCTAATCTGAGGGTTCCCGGTTACAGCGGAGTTCCAGGAGGGAAGGAAATGGAGAACTGCTCACTCTTAAATAGCGAACTTTAAACATTGAGCAGTTGCATCAGACCAAAGAACAAGGCACAGCCAGCTCCAAATTTGACAACTCCAACACTCAGTGTGTTCTCCTCATCCCAGGGCGGAAATCTTTCACAGGAGACCCCAGAGGCTCTCACATCACCTTAAGATCTCGCCTTAATTCCTTCCTTGCTCTCTCCAAAACCATACTGGAAAACCAGCGGCACACAAAGCACATTCAAATGATATTCAAAGCGCAAATCAAGCAGCTGAGTTTCAACCGGATCACGCCTGAAGAGGCCAGTCCCTTGCAGCAGGCTTTGACTATCAAACAGCTTTCCTGTGCCGTTTGTCAGCCTCTGCTTCCCCAGGCTGCCATTCCTTTCGGAGAACATTAAAAACATGTCCTCCCCCAGGAAAGCTTCCACCCCAGGAAACTGCAACTGAAAAGCTGAGTAAGTTTTCTTCTTTAATTTTGTTATTTTCCCTCTGGAGCAGCAGTGAGAAAACTGGTTTTGGCTACACCAATAAAAACGCTGTTTTCCACAAGGCACGCTGATCCTCGCTGCCGTCAGCACATTTGCCCAGCGAGGTGAAGGGCGCATCTCCCGTGCGAGAGAGCCGCTGCGCAGGCTGGGCCGCAGGGGCCCTGCCTCGTCCCGCGGGCGAGCGGGGAAGGCGCAGAGAGGCTCAGGGTACCTTCTTGAGGAACGTCGCCACCGTTTCTCGCTTCGTGGCCGTGATGCGCTTCACTCCTTCCGGCGACTGCACGCGGATTATCTGCGGGGTGAAGAGGACAGCCCGAGTTAGCGACGGCGGGGACAGAGCCCGCCCTGTGCTCGCAGCCTGCTGAAGCCACGCTGAAGTTTCACACACGCGACGCAGACCATCCCCACCGCTCCTCCCTCCTGCTTTTAACGCTGCTCTTCACAAGGGAGTGCAAACGCACAGGGAAGTAATTTGCTCGTGGCAGGGCAGCACCGGGCCGACGTTTGCATGCCGCAGGATGAATTACCCTAATGCACGAGGCACGGCAAGAAGTTGGCACCGAGAAAAATGCTAACGCTGCTTTTTTTTGGTCAAAGCTCTGACCTCAGACGTGGAATTAAACTTTCAGAAGGAGGGTGAATCAGAGCTGCCACGGGAGCGATTTATTCGGCGCCTACACACAAACACTGGTCTAACCGGTGCTAATGGGCACCGGCGCCGTCGTTACGTTTCAACCCATGTTACTGACGTGCAACCTCCATCACTAATGAAAAGGTGAGGAGAAGAGCCACAAGGCTCGGGCTATTCCTGCGCAACACTGAACAGCAGTTTTGCTGCAACCTTAAGTCAGAGATGGGAAAACCTGGCAGCTTTTGGGGGAAAGGGCCGGGGACAATTCTTCGCATACTGGCAGGGAAGCGGCAAACGTAGATGTCGGAGTCCTCGTGCTGCCGGGGACCAGAGAAGTGATTCAAGTTGCTCTAAAGAGCACCTTCACCTGCTGATGCGTAACGCAGAGGATGGCGACGTGCGTGCCGAAGGGAGGGACACGGGAAGACAGGGGAGGCCGCCGGCGTCCCGGCATTACCTCCCAGGAGCCCCTTTACACTCTCCCAACTTTCAGCACGGGAGCAAGCCCGGCCCGACGGGAACGGGAGACCTTTACGGCACCGACGAGCCCTTTCTCCGGCGATGTCGGCACCCCGGCCACGATCGGGCACCTTCCCCCGAGACATCCCCGCCCGGGGCTGAGCAGGACCCCGGGGTCACGGTCCCAAACCCCACACGCTCCGAGGGGGCACTTCCTTGGGGCAAAAACACGGGGAATCCGTCCACGG